GATACTCTATATATTCTATGCCATCCTCTGGCTCGTCCTAATGGCTTTGGAATACAAGGACCTTGTTAGACTTCAGTTTTGGATCCTTGCCGTCATTCTCCTCGGGTTTCTTGAGAAGGTTTTTTTTGTTGCAGAGTATGGAACTGCCAATGGAGGAATAGATTGTAAGAGTACTTGCATACTGGGTTTCTCCACAGGATTTTGGCATAGTGCTCGTGGAGCTGATCTTGTTCAAAATCAGATTTTTTTACAAGTTTTTGAAGTTGCTAAAAAATTAGGCCAAAGTCCCTGTACTGTAGTACCAGGCCTGGTCTTTGGCCAAATTTTGCCAAAAATGACTAGGAGGAAATTCTCCATTTTAATAATTTTTTCTGATGCACATACATGTTCTCATGTTGTTTAGCAAGTTTGAACTGATTCCAATCAAGTTTAGATTTTTTAATGAATTTTTAAAGTTGCTCAAAAATTAGGCCAAAGTCCCTGTACTGTAGTACAGGGTCTTTGCCCACATTTCGCCAAAAATGACTAGGAGAAAATTCTCTGTTTTTATAATTTTTTCTGATGTACATACATGTTTTTATGCTGTGTAGCAAGTTTGAACTGATTCCGATCAATTTTGGATTTTTTATGAATTTTTAAAGTTGCTCAAAATCAGGCCAAAGTCCCTATACTATTATGAGACTTTGGCCAAATTTCACCAAAAATGACTAGGAGAGAATTTGCAATTTTTAAAATTTTTTGATACATCAAGTTTGAGTTGATTCTGATCACAGTTGCTCCAAAAGCCATGTACATGTACTATTGTAATGCTGTCAGCTCATGAAACATGTTTTAGATCACATACATGTAGCATGCTTTGTGGGAAACCAACCAGTATATTGTGTCATACTCATATCCCATAATATAATGTACACTTACATTATGAATTTTATTTTACTTGTTATTATCCTTTTACAACAGCCTCTGGTTTGATATATGTTGCTGAGATTGTGTCTGCAGCTAAGAGAGCATTGTCCAGAGTATTGATCATTATTGTTTGTGAAGGATTTGGAACTGTCAAGTAATCCACAGTACACCTCGTCCTTCCTTTACATACTCCTCTCTGTATTCTTATAGACCAAGGTTGGGTCATCTTCTTACTAAAGTGGTATTT